TCTGAACAATGGAGGAGATTTCATCTCTGCTCTTCATCAAATATAACCAAGTGTATCTTGAGTAATCATCACTAAACAAGATAAAGTATTTATAGCCACCATGCAAAGGATAGAATATGGGCCCCAAACATCAGTATATATCAAGTTAAAACTTAAAAGCAACATCACTTCTTCTATTACTTGCAAAATATGTAGTCCTACATTGCTTTGAGAGATGACAAACTTCAAATTGTAGTTCTACCTTCCCCTTGAGTCTTAAACTCAGCTCCTGCCATTTCTATAAGAGGTTTATCAGAAGAAACCAGTTCTCTGCAAGACCCCCCCCCTAAAAGAGAAACTTTTTAGCTGGAACAGATCTGGTAATCACCCAGAAAAGGTTTGGAAGCTGAAACTAGCCTAGAAATCAACCAGAAAACAATTTGGAATGTTGAAACTGATCTAGAAATCACCCAAAAATTGTTAACAGTCAGGTCTGGTCGTAGGGTTAAGAAAAACCCTAGAGAAAACTCTGAGAAAACAAAAAAACTCGTAGGGTTAGATAGGTCTGATCTATCTCTGATTGGTGTCGATCTCAAGGAGAAACAAAAACTTACCCAGAAAAACCTGATCGCTACTTCCAATCCCAGTTTGAACCCTGAGCTCTCTAGTTGCAAAGGTAAACCTATTTGTGATTTTATCAGTTCTTCCTCATCCCTTTCAAACCTGAGTTGGAATCTTGGCTTCACTAGAAATCTGAGAGAATCTGAAATTTCCAATGTCTCAACTTTGCTTCTTCTGTTGAGTTCAGTATTTCTGGGGGAGGGTGGTTTAGATTCTAGAGTGTGGACCCTTAGTCAGTCGGGTTCTTTTTCCTGTAAGTCCTTCTTGAATTCTCTTATCTCTACTTCTCCCTCTCCTTATTTCCCTGTTAAGGAGATATTGGTCTCGGTCCATCCCTCCAAAAGTTAGTGTGGCTCCCATTAACACCTGTGATTTGCTTCAGAGGAAAAGACCAAATTGGTGCTGTTTATGTAAGTTGTATGGTGAGACTGCCTTTCATCTTTTGATTTCTTGTCCTTTTGCTATTTCTATTTGGGAGTGGTTTTCATCTCTTTTTCGATGCAGTTGGCTTCCCCTGATTGTCTGGAAGGTGTATTTAGCTCTCACCTTTTCAGCTGCCCTAAAAGAGGAAGGGTTATGTGGAGATGCACTAGAGCAGCAGTGATCTGGACAATTTGGGAGGAAAGGAACCTAAGAATCTTTGAAGACAAGGAAAGAAGTAAGGAAGCTGTGATTGAGATGATTACTCTAAGAGTAGCGCATTGGGTGAGCACTTTAGAGCTCTTTTCTGACTTTAAGGTTGAAGACTTCTTCAGATCGTGGGGAATAATTGCAGGTTTTTCGTCTAGAAGACAGATAATTCATGAGGCCTGGTCTCCTCCATGTGTTGGGTGGAAGAAATTAAACTTTGATGGTAGCTGTATGGGCAATCCTGGACCATCGGGTATTGGTGGGGTAATTAGGGAAGAAAATGGAAACATTCTAGCTTTGTACTTAGGTCCTATTCAGCATGGAGATGTGGTGAGATCAGGATTATTGGCAGCAGTCTATGGAGTAGAGAAAGCTAAAGAAATGGGGATTACTAAGCTGATTATTGAAGGTGATTCAAAAGTAGTTGTGGGCTGGCTGAAAAAGGGGGAAGGAATCATATGGAAGTTAAGCAATGAATTCAGGAGATTCAAGCGGATTTCTAAAGACATGATGGTCCAAATAAGGTGGATAAGGAGATCTGCAAACAGTTTGGCTGATGGCCTAGCAAAGCAAGGAACTCAAAGACATTCTATGTTCTGGGCAGTTCTGTCAAATAGTAAGTAGTTTCTGTTTGGGCTTTGTTTTGTGCCCACAACTCTTTGTTGTATCTCTATTTTTTAATCTAATGAATCAATTTTGTGTTGCTGATAAAAAAAAAAAACTATAGCCTTACAATTAACCTGGGGATGGAAGGTATTGGTGGTGTGTTTAGAGACTCCTCAAGTAAAGTGCTGGCTATGTACTCAGGATCCATAGGAGAAGGGGACTCTTTAAAGGCTGAATTGATGGCACTGTTACAATGTTACAAGCCTTAAAATTTGCTAAGCAATCCAATTTTAGAAACCTGAAAGTTGAAGGAGACTCAAAAGTGGGTATTTATTGGATTAATTCTAGTTACAATGTACCGTGGGCTCACAGACATGCCTTAAGGGAGATAGAAAGTCTGAAAGGGGACCTGAATGCTTCCTTTAATTGAACACGCAGCAAAGCTAATGGGATGACTGGCACTTTAGCTAAGCAAGGGGTATTGAGGCAGCAGTTATTCTGGGCTCTATTGTAAATTAGTTATATGGACGTTGTTGTTTTCTGTATTTTCGGGTGATGTTTTTTTGATTGGAAACAGTGACTTTCATTAAAAATAGTAATTAATCATCATACACTGTCAACAACTCAGAAAATGAGTGTTGACCTCAGTCAAGTTCATAAGTTACAATACAGCCCCAAAAAAGTTCTCCCTGAAGGCCCCCTGCTTTGCCAAACTATCAGCCACAGAGTTGGCTGACCTCCTTACCCATTTGAAAATTACCCCAGCCTCCCTTGCTAAGCAAAGCATTTCCCTTATTTGTTGTCTAAAAGTCCATACACCCAGATTTTTTGTCTGCAGCCATCCTATTAACAATTTAGAATCTCCCTCCACCTCTAAGTTCTGAAATCCCCATTGCTTGGCCAATCTCAAGCCTTGTAGTAGAGCCATAATTTCAGCTTTCAGAGAGTCTCCCACTCCTATGGGACCAGAATATAGTGCCATCAGTCTGTCCTCCCCATCCCTGAAGACTCCCCCAGCTCCAGAGGGTCCTGGATTACCCAAGGAGCTTCCATCAAAGTTTAATTTTACCCTTTGTTGTGCTGCAGGAGTCCAATAAGGCTGAAACAGACTGTCTAGTTGAAGAATTTTCCACTAATGACCACTCCCTTAGTATATCATCCACCGAAAAGTCTTTGAACAAGTCAGTAACTTTCAGGTTTCAGCCATTGTATAACTTTAATGGCTATGCAGTCAATGACTTGTTCTTTTGATCTTTCTACCCTTTGTTGTAATTTCGGGTGAATGGATACCCAATCTGTTGTAGCTTCTACCTCCCTTTAATAAATTTAATCTTTTTTTCTGATAAAAAAAACAATAGCCTTACTATTAATCATGTTCCTCTCCCCAAGGCCTGGAAGTGGAAGATATTCTTAATTAAAAGAATCACCAAACCATTATTGATTAGGCTGATCCAAGGTGCAGACATTTTACCTTAAATCAAGAAGCTCTGGGACAGTTTGTTGAATCCCAATGATAATTCTACAACTCTGATCCAAGTAAAGAACATTTACATCAAATAATGTGTTCCAATTTTTTCCAGGAAGAAAAAGAAGAAAAAATCAACAAAGTAGCACTTCCAACTAACATGTATCATGCAGGCCTAAATCCAAGCAGTAGGAAAATGATATTCTATGATGAATGATGCTAACAAACTATAACTGATACAAAGAACTTAGCACATTTCATATGAACAACAATTCTTCTTTCCTCTGTTTGGGGGTGAAGTGGTTTAATTTGGATGGTGCTGGCCATCTTTTTTCAGTTTCTCTGAGACTTTCAGGTGTTTCTCAAGAAAGGATTTGTGAGAGTCTCGGATCTATTTTAACATAAAGCGTATTGTTGTCATTTTATATTTTTATGTAGGGCCTAGCCTAAGAGTTTGATATGCCTAGTAATGGTTTAGTTATATTTAAATTTTTGTAGTCATTGGTTAAGTGGTTTAAAAGTTATTGAGTTTTCTCATGATAGTGGCAATTCTATTATCTCTTTTTCTTAGTTCTAGGATGATTCTCAACCTCAATGGTGTCTATATATGTGTAAAGTGTAAAAACAAGGGAATGAATGAATTGAGTTTATGTGGGTTTTTATAACTTATGCTGAAAGCAATGAGTGATTCCCATGGTCAAGTGTGGTTCTAGGCATCACATTGAGTGATTCTGGTTTTCTTCTTTTTCTTTATGTTTTCTCTTTAATTTTGCAAGCAGCCATTATGGCTATCAACATCGCATAAATTCTTTATTAATGGCATTCATTCAACATTCCTAAAGGATTAAGACTGATCTAGGTGGATTTTTCTTTGTTTTATATCAATCCTGAGAATTTTCCATTCCATTTGTTTTTGCACTTTATGTCAAATTCCTTCCTAGTTGCACCCTTGGGTCATAGTTGCCCTACACTAATTGGTCTCAAAGGTGGTGGTCCTACATCAATTGGTGTTGTAGTAGTCACTCTGCATCAGTTGGTATTAGAGCAGGTGATCCTACATCAATTGTTGTTAAAGTTGTCAGTCCTTTGCTAGTTCGGTATTAGAGGAGGAGCAGATGTTTCTATATTTTTGGGGGATATAGAAGGAGTGGAATCGAAGAACTTTTGAAAGAAATGCATGTTCAATCAATTGTGGAATTTGTGGATAATACTTTATAAAGTCAACTCTCTCTCTCTCTCTAACTCATGGTATTATTTCTTTGCATGATTGCCTACTTAATGAAGGGCCCGGATTACCCAAAGAACTTCCATCAAAATTCAGCCTACTAATGATCATGATGAATGATTGGAAACCTACATTCAATGATAATTATTTCTTTGTCAATCTGGATACATAAGGGTAGCAAATTTGTTGCCTAAAACCTTATTCCTGTTGTATATATGGTTCTTACTCAAATAATGTGGATACATAAGGCTTACCTGTCATTTTACAGTTAGGGGTACATAATGTGTTTGTTTCAATGCAAAATGAGCATTCTCTGTAGCTCACAATTCATCATTATCATCATTATTTTTCAGAGGTAGTGAGATCCTTATCAAACTGATCTTCACCATATTTTCATTATAATGATGGCTTTCATGTTTTGATGTTGGAATTGTTATAGATTTATTTACAGTTGATGTTTAACTTGATTTTTAGGCAGGAGAGTTACTTTGCTTATTTGTTTGGAGTGAGGGAGCCTGGTTTTTATGGAGCCATTGTAAGTGTGTATCATGTGAAAATTCTTTATTTTCCCATCTTTTTCTTTGTTCCAGATGGATCCAGATTTCCTTCTAATATTTTTCTTGTATTTGTAATGTATACCATCCTCTTGTTAGTTGTGTAGAAACTGGAAAACTATGACATCTCTCTCTCTCTCTCACTTGATCACCCCAACCCCGTATGAGTGAAGATAGTGAATGCATTAGATTTTGGGCAACATCTGTAACCACATCCATTTAATCCATGACCAAAAAACAAAGACTTTGGGAACATTCAGCACATATAAATGTGTCCCATGTGAAAAAACATTCAAAAGCGCATTCTTAGATAGGCATTGAAATAGAGGCCACCCAATTTCCATCATTTATTTTATACTTACTCCATCCATTATTTTTGGTGGTATTGATTATCATTTTTCCTGCTTTCACCAAACTTCAAAACTCCTTCAGCATTAGTCTCAGTTGTCTCTTACAATCATGTTTTTTAGATCAGCAAAGTAGAACTTTTTTAATTAAGTGAACAAGCTACAGAAATGCAGAATTACAGTAAAGCATCAAGAGACAGTCATTGCCCTGCAGAATATTACAATAGAGCCCAAAATAATTGCTGCCAGTAGAACCCCTGTTTGGCTAATGAGTCAGCCATCCCATTTGCAGTCCTCCTAATCCAAGTAAAAGGAGCATTGATCTCCCTTGCTAGGTTTCCAATCTTCCTTATGGAATGCCTGAAATCCAAGGAACATTATTCCTATTGGTAGTCCAAGAAATTACCAATTTAGAATCCCCTTATTTTTTGATCAATATTAGAATTCCCTTTAATCTCCAATTTTTTTAAATCAACTTGCTTAGCAATTTTCACTTCTTGAAGTTGTGCTAACAGCTCAACCTTTAGAGAGTCACCTACCCCTAGTGGTCCTGAATACATTGCCACCACTTTGCTTGAGGAATCTCTAAAGACACCACCAATGCCTACCGATCTTGGATTTCTCATAGAGCTCCCATCAAAGTTAAGCTTGATTTTATTATTATCCGGGGGCTTCCATTCCATCACCTTTCTTTCTTTCTTCCCAGAGGAGTGTCACTTCATTCCACACCCTTATTATATCAATCATTGAGAATCTTTGGAATAGTTCAAGTGTTTTTATCCAATGTGCAGCTCTTATATTTATAATTTCAACAATTTCTTCTTTTGACCTATATATCTCATTGAAGATCCGTGCATTCCTTTCCTCCCATACCATCCGTACTATTGCAGCCCTGGCTCCTCTTTTCGTTGGCTGCCTTAAGAAGTTTGGGTTGAAGAGACTCACCACATTGTGAGGAGTAATCCACGTATAACCAAAAAGAGAGCAGAAAGATTCCCAAGCAAAGAGCACAACAGGACAATGGATTAATAAGTGGGACAGAGATTCACCATTTGCAAAACAAAGAGAGCACATGAGGGGAAAAACATTTATTTGGCCTTCTTTTTTGAAGTATGACACAGTTGTTCACTTTTCCAAGAAAAACCTCCCAACACAGTGCTTGAATCTTGGGTGGAATGGGCTTACTGCAAATCTCTTTCATTGGAAATTCATTCCCCCAACAGGAGGTTGCACAAGGGTATTGAAAAAAGAAGCACAAGTAAAGATACTGCCAGAAGAGATAGACCAAACTCTAGTGTCCTCCATTGCTTGATCTAGGAAGGCTGACTTAAGTTTATCCAACAAATGAATAAGCGTCTTGCACTCATTATTCCTTAACCCCCTCCTGAAACCAAAGTCCCGACTCAAACCAGAATGAGAAAAAAAGTGTCAAAATTTGAGATAGGTTGCCAGACATTAAATTAAGATCGGGGAAGACAGAACTGAAAGGAGTTTCATCCAACCAAAGATCTTCCCAAAAGAGTACCCTAGACCCAGATCCCACATCAAACCTGATGAAATTACAAAGGTTGGATATACCTCTTGTATTGCTTTCCAGGGAGAGCTCGAAGTTGAGGAAGAAGCTACCTTTGCATCCCAACCATTGTTCATCAACCTGTTAATGCTTTTTGTGACCTTGTGCCACAACTGTCTTCTTCCAAAAGAAACCTCCAAAGCCACTTTCCTAGCAGAGGAGTGTCCCTGTGCATTAGGTTCCCCATCACTAGACCTCCTTTCTCCTTTGTTTTGCTAACTTGTTCCCACCTTACTAGATGGTTCCTTTTTTCATACCCTGGCTTCCAAAGAAAATCCCTTATAAATTTCTCTAGTTGTCTTGCTATCCTAGTTGGAATTTTGAAGGTTGAAAGGAAATAGACCGGTAGGGTGGCTAAGGTTTTTCTAATCAATGTTATTCTCCCACCTAGAGATAAGTAGTTCCTCTTCCACAATGTCTCTCTCTCTCTCTCACACACACAATCATTCTTATCCTAGTTTCACTGACCTTTTTTAACAAATTCTCTTGAAAGTTTTTAAGTTTTGTAAGTATGGTGGGAGAAATTGACTTGGCATTGGAGGAGTTTTTAGGAATGGTGGGAAGGTTTCCTTCTTAGCCAAACAAGAGGCTTCTAGGGATTCTCTTTTTTGGGCTGTGTTGTGATTTTCGGTTTTTGAGATACTGCTAGTCTTCTGCAGAAGACTAGCAGTAATGTATTTTCACATTCATACTTCTAGTCTTCTGCATGTCTTTTCCCTTTTCTTTTCTCTTTCTTTTGTCCTAGCTTTCTTTTCCCCCTGATATTTAGTGAGAGCTTGTCTAGTTTTTTAAGGCTGAACTTAATGTTATGATATCTGTTGTCTGTCAAGGACATTGCCACTGGGAAGTCCTTTCTGTTTGCCCCAAGATTAGATGCTGATTACGCTGTATGGTTAGGGAAAATAAAGCCGTTGTCATACTTCAAGGTGAAAAAAAATCTTTGACTAATATATTTTGGTTTATTTCCATGTCATTTTGACAACTGACACTCCCCTTGTGTTTTACAGGAAATGTATATGGTTAACATGGTTTGCTATACCGATGAGATTGTAGGGGTTCTACATGATCACTATGGGGGGTCAGGAAAGCCCTTATTGTTTCTCTTGCATGGGCTTAACACTGACAGCAACAAATTCTCCAAGCCTGCACAACTTGAGGTACCCACATCTCATATATTTACCATATAAAATATTCTATCTGCTTTCATAACTAATATCTGAGTTCTCTCCAGTCTCTTTTTTTAGATAAATAATGGAAATTTTATTAATTAAAATCAAAGGATACATATAACAAACTCCCCACAATGAGGTGCGAAGTGCATTTGTGATTCAGTGCAGATGGCTGCTTATATCTTTTTGATTCATGGATTTTTCTCTTCCACCTTGTACCCATTCTGTGGAACTTCAATATGTTTTGCTCATTCTGCAGGAGATGGAGAAGTTTGACACTGATTTAAGTACACTGCATCCTATATTGATCGAATGCCGCATTATCAAGTCAGATCTGGAGCTTGCACTTATTCAGTATGCTAATGATATAAGCTCAGAAGCTCATGTTGAGGTACAATGTATAAACTCAGAAGTTCATGTTGAACTACCTTTTTTTTTTGATAGGAAACGGTAACTTTCATTAAGTTTAAAATTACAAAATTACAATTGCCATTGATCAAAAAAAAAAAAAATACAATTGCTACCTTACAAAAAGGTGACCCCTCAGAAGGTCATGTTAAGCTACCTTAATGTTTGAAAAATTCAAATTCTGAAGATTCTATTGTAAAATTTTATCTGTTTTAAATGATACATGTTATTCCCTTTGTTTAGTTTCTTTGCAACTACTTCCTTTTACCTTGTAGTGTGGGTACTAAAATCCACAGCTTGGGCTAACACAGAATTCTGGATCAGAAGGGTCCATGTGCTCCTGAATGGCAAAGATATGTATTGTTTATTGGAATTATTAACTGGATAAAATTCATCAATGGCGAGAGGAAATAGGAAAAATAGTAGAAAATCCATTCTCTTTATAAGAATGAGGACGAATGAAATGCCAAATTGCTGCTGAGTATGAATTAGGCACAATATACAGATACTAAAACTTTCCTGAGACAGCTGACCTCAAAACAACTCAGTCCTTGCTACACTAGACTTGCAAGAAAGATTCAAAATTTTGACATGGTACACCCTGTATTGGGCATATTATATTATATCGTGGGCTGACTGAAACACTTTTTTAAAGGGGTTTCCCAGAAACTTGGGTTTCAAATGTAAATTACCCTTAAAACTTGTTAGAGAATATTGACCTATTCAAGGACCTCACCTAGCAGCTTAAGCTTTTAGGTTGAGTAGTTCTTTGAGATGGTATCAGAGCCACTTTGACCAAGTGGTCTAGTGTTCGATCCTCATTACCCCCATTATAATTAATTAAGTTTCAGCACAAGGTATAGGTGGGCCTGTGCTTGTTCCCACTTTAAGCCCAACGGGCTTTCGTGTGAGGGGGCGTGTTAGAGAATATCGACCTATTCAAGGACCTCACCTAACAGTTTAAGCTTTTAGGTTGAATGGTTCTTTGAGAAAACTGATCCCCTATGAAAATCTCAATGTAAAAAAAAAGTTTAGTATTGAAAACCCAATATGCATGTTCATGCGTGTGGGGTGTATCGATACTTTGAACCTTGCTTGCAAGGGGCAACTAGCTAGTGAACCTTGGAATCCATCAGTAACAAGCTCTTCATTTTAATACATCAAAAAAATCTGCTCATTTTGAGTTTCAAGGTTATAGCCTCTTATGTGAGTTTGTACTGCCCAGGGGCTTTCTAACAAGTCCAGCAATAATCCTATTGCTACTAGGGGATCTCCCTTAGTATCAACTTGCTCACCTTTCCGTGGCATAGAACAATAAGTTTATATGGTTGGCAACCTTACTGCTCTTTGCTCTAGAACACATGTATGTAGCTTCCACAAGATGTACAAATACACATATATGCATATAGATAAATCAAAATTTGCATGTATACATGTCTAGTTTTTGGAATTTTGTAATACTGTCACCCTCCTGCTGAGTAAAATAAAGGAGGTAATTTGGGAACCCTGGAAAATCTGATATACTGGGAGTTGTTAGAAACAGATCAGAAGAGATTATTACTTTATACTTGGGGCAAGATATGGAAGGGTACGGAGGTAGGCAAAATGATAAAGGGGGTATAGGGATAATATAAAGGAGGTTTTGGGGCAAGATAACAGATTTAAAAATAAGGAACTTGGGGGGAACACATGGTTAAAAAGAAACATGTGTGCTGAGTAAAATGTTAAAGACAAATAAAGAAAGTGAATGGTCAAAATAGGTGTGAGTTATTGAAAAGGAGGGGAGGGTAAAGGGGGATTAATACAAAATAGAGGGGTATATGTGGAATGGAGAAAGTGTTTTCATTTGCGAAGAGGAGTTATTGATGTATAGGGAGAAGAGGATTAAAAGAAAGGAGGTTTTTGAGCAAGGAGAGGAGACTTGAAGGTGGTAGAGGTGGATAAGGAAGATTATGTTTGGGTAGGCACCAAATAAAGTCCTATGAACTGATTGAAAATGGTGGAGTCTATTGAGAGGAGGAGAGAGTAGAGCAGGTTAAAGTGATTTAAGTGGTGAAGAACAAGAAAGCTTCATCAAAGAAAAAATCACACATGGATGAGATCATTGTTGAAGACCGTGAGCAAGAATCAAACACTCAATAAATAGGAAAGTGTCTGTTTTGTCAAGTGAAACGGGAATGTGTATACAGATTCTTAACAAGACCAGAGAGTAGGAGGTGTGTGGGAGACTGGGAGTAGGATCGGAGAGGGAGGGAGTAGAAGAGGAAATTGAAGAATTAAGGGTTTATAAAGAGGTGACGTAGATACGAAAGCAAAGAAAGAATTCATGGGGAAATAAACCAGTTTTCCAATTCCTACACCGATTTCAGAATTTTTAGGTGATAGAATATTGGTATTGTTACAGTTTTTTTTTTTGGTTTATTTTCTAGTTGTAGGCGTCTTAAAAATAGGGTTCTGTTACTTGGAATTTTATTGCTATTATACTAATTATGGTAACATTAAGACTTATCTCTTTATAGCAATTCTTGTAATTACTACTTTTAAATAAACTCATGCTTTACTATTTTTAGTAATTTCTGGTGTCTTTAGTTAAAGGGTAAATTGCTGAAACCTCCCTTGAATTTTTGGACCATTGCTGAAACCTCCCTTGAATTTTTGGACCATTGCTGAAACCTCCCCTAAAGTTTGTTAATTGCAATCACCTCCCCCTGAACTTTCTGACACAGTTTTAAATAAACCCCCTCTCTTAGAATCCTCTAACAAGAGGCATGAAATGACCAAAATACCCATGCAATTACTTTTGACTGACATTTATTTTCCAATTTTTCTCTTCATATAAATTGCTACCCCAAACCCTTCCAATCTATTTTCCAAAATTTCCCTTCATGTCATTGCTCAAAGGTAAATTTGCAACTTTAAACTCTTTTTTTTTTATGTTGTTGTTCATAAAGTTTGTATTGTTTTTTCTATAGAAACCAACCTCAATAGTAACTTCATGGGTATTCTGGACATTTTCATGCCTCTTGGTCAGAGATTTCTAACAGAGGGGGTTTACTTGCAACTGTGTCAAAAAGTTAAGGGGGGAGGGGTGATTGCAATTTACAAACTTCAGGGAAGGTTTCTGCAACGGTTTGTTTTGATTGCCTTTTTCTTTTTTGAGGGTGATATTGTCTCACCTCTCTTTGTACCTTTTTTCTTTGTCAATAAAATTCCTTTTTATTTATTACAAAAAAAGAGTTGAAATCTGTAAAGGGACATCTTAGTTCATATGTTGAGTCTATAAATTGTCATTGTAATTGGAATTAAAGAAAAGTTGATTTGAATAAATAAAATTTGGTTTAGTGAATTCTGCTTGTTGCCAGGAATTGTTTCTTTTTCCCCTCTCTCTCTCTCTCACTTGTTCTTCTAAGTGATATATCTCTTTGTTGTTTACCCTAATGGCAAGACTCTCTTCCCCTCTCTCCTATTTTCATTCTCAGTTTTTTGGTAGGCAGCAAGTTGTCTACCTCCTTTTCTATCCTTATTCTTCATCACCCAAAACCCTTCTTTTACCCATACAAAACCCACCATCAGATGTGAAATTTTTAGAAACTTGCAAGAAAAGGAGAGACCAGAATTAATGTGGTTCAGCTTGGCTGTCCATATCCATGAGGGAGAGCTATAAAAGTTCCATTATCACAAATAATGGAAAATACAAGAATATATGGAGGTAACCTTCTAATCATACCTCTCTTTCTCTCTCTCACACACACAACAGAAAATTCAGTAACACCTCGAATAGAAAATCAGTCTCCAAGAGAAATGGATGAGATCATCTAAAAAGTAGGGGATTTTGCTTGGCTAGCTACTGCTAGTCTGCTACATGTGCAAGTCAGATGAGGAAACTGTACACCATTTGTTTTTTTCATGCCACTTAGAAAATTTCATTTGGAGTTTTATTGTTTCCTTTTTGGGATGCCCATCTTTCAACCATCTTCTTCATCAGAGATCTTTTCCTCATGGCCAAAGTTTAGAGGAAGTTTGAGAGCTAAAATTGTTTGGAGCTGCATCCCTTTTGCAGTATGCTGGACTCTGTGGGGGGAAAGGAACAGGAGGCTATTTGAAGGAAGGGAAAGAAGCACTGAAGAGATTGTGGCCTCAGTTGGCACTCATCACAAGCTGGGTCATGTTTCTTCCAGAATGTGAGCAAACTAGACCTTTAGACTTTGCTGATAATATTTGGGACACTTTAGAGATTCAAAATTGTAATGTGAATCAGTTCAGTTTGAAGTGAAGTTTCTGATGTCTGCTTGCTTTGATTTAGGGTGTTATCTTGACACTTGAACATCTTGTAACTGTTTTTGTTTTTAAATAAAATTTTATATTTTATTCTTCTTCTTCTTCTTCTTCAAAAATAGAACCAAGAAAATTGTCCAAATAGACTTGCAAGCCTATGATATGAACTGACACCCTAGGACACTGTAGGTTTTCAACACTGCTAGTCAGTCTTGACCACTAAGAGATTTCAGGTTCGATGAGAAGAAAAGTGAAGAAGTAGAAGAAAGAGTGGTGAAAGAGCAGTAGAACACAGATTTTGAGGAGAA